ACTGTATTTTTCACCATATTAATTTTTGTTTTTAAGCAATTTTATGTTTTAATAAATTTTGATCTAATTTTTTTAAATTTTGAAAATTTTTTATACATTTTCCAATGAATAAATGCATTTCTGATATGTATGAATAAAATACATACATATTTGAACATAACCACTGTAAAAAACCATGTCGTTCAAAAATGACAATCCTTGTTCAAAGCTGCCCCCCCGGGGGGCAGTTTTGAACACTTTGACTTCGTCCATTAAAACAGTAATAAAATATATTTATCAAGCTTATAGTATGTCATATGTATATTCATTTTAAAGGTTACATATGTACCTATTAGTTAAAATTTATACGAAACCAAAAATTATGAAATAAAAAAATGTATAAGGCTTGAAAGCAAAAAGTGTTCAAAGGTGCCCCCCTCTCCCCTACAGACCACAATGGGATACTCAATAAGAAGTTTTAAGTCGGTCCTCATACCTGAAATAAGAGTAGCCACAACATGTTAAGCAATGATACCAGACAGGGACTCATGGGATAGCGGAACACTAGCAAACTTTCCCCTTATTAGCTGTTGCTACACAGATGGTTACCAGGAAGTCAGGAATTGTATTTTCTATTGAAGAGCCGAAAAACCAAATTTTCACTTCGCCATCCAGACCCAAATGAGGATAAGACACAGCAAAACAAAAAAACATGTATTCTCACAGGATATAATAGCCTGCAGGAGGACATCATGAAGGACCTGGAATACAAATTGAATAACTAATATTTGACATCGAAATCGTGAATACTGTATAATTTGTTGTACTATATTTCCAAATATTCCAATAGTACTCTTCATACATATAAGCACAATTTTCTGAAATATATTTCTTAATTCCATTATACAGATTCAAAAGTGATCAGAATTCAAATTATATATTATAGCAAATACCTAATGATTCCACATTTAGTTCCATTCAGCAATTTTTGAACACATAAGTACACGTTTTCAAGACTACCTCCAAATATCAATACTACACTCAAACAGCAACTAATATTCCAAATTTTGGGTTTCCAGCTCTATCCGCTCACCCAAAATTCAGATTGTACTAAATTCAGTAGCACTTAGTAGCCATAAATACGAATTTCCTAAACTACCTATGGAGGTGTTTTTCGGAATACGTGCTATAAGAGAAAAAAGGAACTAAATGGTACAAATATTTTATTTAAGGTCAATATTGGTGTGTAGGGTGATTAACTCTTCTGACTATGCAGTTCTCTGAGAAAACAAAATATTGTATTTAAACATGTTTAAATAATTCTCAGTAGGGGGCATATGCTAGTATATGTATAAAAAAGACCAAAAACATATGAGACCAGCCTTGAGAGCTAAATTTAATTCCAATTTAGACAAAATTTCGTATTTATAGAACACAGTATATTTTTCGGGCAATTGCAGGATCGCAGTAATCACAATTTAGAGAATTAGAGAACTATGTTGAACACAATACAGTTTTGACTCACTGACATGTATGTTCAATTCTGTCCTTTAACTAATGACTTGCTGTGTTTGTCATATACACCAGTATACTACTGCAAATATTCATATGTATACTAATCTTGTGATGTATACAATAAAAAACAAAACTATACAAAAATTGAGTACACACACACAGCCATACATATTGAATGAAAGTAAATTTAATGGATATTCTGTCAGTCAAAGAGACCATCTAACCGCTACTACTGTCATATGGTGTGGGGTGGGATGGGGTGTGGTGCGGGATGTTAACTTTGCACAATCGACCATATTCCATTCTTTTAATTCGACCTTCCTCGACTGGGGCTAAAAATGGTTGAAATAATTTTTTTATGAGTTGCTGATAATATTGGAAAAGCATTGATTTCCTTTTTTCTGTTCTGTTCAGTTCTGTTTTGTTTGTTTTTTATTCCTGTTATGTTCTTTATCCGGTTTCATTTATAAATCTATATTGAATGGTCTTTGTTCGCAGGCTATGTTTTGTGGGTATGTTTTTGTTGTTGCCACTCTGGTCGATTGCCCATACTATTGGTCTTTTATGCGTTTTTTATGTGTTTATTTGTAATTTTAATTCGATCCTTTGAGGCGTTATAATAGTTGTAGTTGTATTTTAATGGCAGTTCCATGTAGTGTCATTAAAGCGTGATTTATAAAGAGATCTGAGTCTCTTTTTTTATTTTTCACTCGTTCGTTTTCATGAATGTCAAAAATTTTATTGACAGCTTTGACAATGCAATGTGCTGGCAAAGTGTAATGGGGAGGAGGATGTGTAAAAGTAAACAATAAAAGCTTACAATCTGGTCAATAAAGTTGTTACTTTTAATTTATGGTTGTATATATACTAGGCGGAAAATCTAACTATATTGTGGTTCCTTGGAAAAAAATTAATCTAAAAATGCATGCCTTGTGGTTCTTGGAAAAAATTTAATCTAAAAACCAACAGACGGATGGACAGACATGCATAAATCGACTCCTGTGTCTATCTCGTTTACTTTTACCTGTTATAAACATATGCACAAAGACATAATACCCTGTACCACAGTGTGGTGAAGGATATAAAAACCACGCCTTGTGGCTTGTTGGAAAAAAAATATTTAAAAAATCCACGCCTTGTGGCTTGTTGGAAAAAAATATTTAAAAAATCCACGCCTTGTGGCTTGTTGGAAAAAAATATTTAAATAATCCACGCCTAGTGGCTTGTTGGAAAAAAATATTTAAAAAATCCACGCCTAGTGGCTTGTTGGAAAAAAATATTTAAATAATCCACGCCTAGTGGCTTGTTGGAAAAAAATATTTAAAAAATCCACGCCTAGTGGCTTGTTGGAAAAAAATATTTAAAAAATTCACGCCTTGTGGCTTGTTGGAAAAAAATATTTAAAAAATCCACGCCTTGTGGCTTGTTGGAAAAAAATATTTAAAAAATCCACGCCTTGTGGCTTGTTGGAAAAAAATATTTAAAAAATCCACGCCTTGTGGCTTGTTGGAAAAAAATATTTAAAAAATCCACGCCTTGTGGCTTGTTGGAAAAAAATATTTAAAAAATCCACGCCTTGTGGCTTGTTGGAAAAAAATATTTAAAAAATCCACGCCTTGTGGCTTGTTGGAAAAAAATATTTAAAAAATCCACGCCTTGTGGCTTGTTGGAAAAAAATATTTAAAAAATCCACGCCTTGTGGCTTGTTGGAAAAAAATATTTAAAAAATCCACGCCTTGTGGCTTGTTGGAAAAAAATATTTAAAAAATCCACGCCTTGTGGCTTGTTGGAAAAAAATATTTAAAAAATCCACGCCTTGTGGCTTGTTGGAAAAAAATATTTAAAAAATCCACGCCTTGTGGCTTGTTGGAAAAAAATATTTAAAAAATCCACGCCTTGTGGCTTGTTGGAAAAAAATATTTAAAAAATCCACGCCTTGTGGCTTGTTGGAAAAAAATATTTAAAAAATCCACGCCTTGTGGCTTGTTGGAAAAAAATATTTAAAAAATCCACGCCTTGTGGCTTGTTGGAAAAAAATATTTAAAAAATCCACGCCTTGTGGCTTGTTGGAAAAAAATATTTAAAAAATCCACGCCTTGTGGCTTGTTGGAAAAAAATATTTAAAAAATCCACGCCTTGTGGCTTGTTGGAAAAAAATATTTAAAAAATCCACGCATTGTGGCTTGTTGGAAAAAAATATTTAAAAAATCCACGCCTAGTGGCTTGTTGGAAAAAAAATATTTAAAAAATCCACGCCTTGTGGCTTGTTGGAAAAAAATATTTAAAAATTCCGCGCCTAGTGGCTTGTTGGAAAAAAATATTTAAAAAATCCACGCCTAGTGGCTTGTTGGAAAAAAATATTTAAAAAATCCACGCCTTGTGGCTTGTTGGAAAAAAATATTTAAAAAATCCACGCCTTGTGGCTTGTTGGAAAAAAATATTTAAAAAATCCACGCCTTGTGGCTTTTTGGAAAAACATATTTAAAAAATCCACGCCTTGTGGCTTGTTGGAAAAAATATTTAAAAAATCCACGCCTTGTGGCTTGTTGGAAAAAAATATTTAAAAAATCCACGCCTTGTGGCTTGTTGGAAAAAAATATTTAAAAAATCCACGCCTTGTGGCTTGTTGGAAAAAATATTTAAAAAATCCACGCCTTGTGGCTTGTTGGAAAAAAATATTTAAAAAACCCACGCCTTGTGGCTTGTTGGAAAAAAATATTTAAAAAATCCACGCCATGTGGCTTGTTGGAAAAAATTTTTTAAAAAATCCACGACTTGTGGCTTGTTGGAAAAAATATTTAAAAAATCCACGCCTTGTGGCTTGTTGGAAAAAAATATTTAAAAAATCCACGCCTTGTGGCTTGTTGGAAAAAAATATTTAAAAAATCCACGCCTTGTGGCTTGTTGGAAAAAAATATTTAAAAAATCCAAGCTTTGTGGCTTCTTGGGGAACATAAATACAATTGGTACAATTAGGTGTATGCTTTGCGACAACACGTATACACACCCAGTAACACTTTTAAGAGAAGTAGTACGTATTGAAATTACCTCAAAACTGAATTGTGTATACCAAATTCAAAAATATATTTAGTATCCATTCCATCTATTTTAGATGTGTATATTGTGTTATAATATTACATAAATTAAATATATACTTAATTCAAACAACAATAGCAAAACAAATAAAAATCCTTTAGCAATTTATTTATTTATTTTTTTTTTTGGGACACTAGCCCCATTTTAATTAAAACCTTGTATGCAACATTTGCTTTGGATCCCTTTTTGATGGCGACTACTGTGTGCAAATTGTTATCCTTTTTATGATTATTTCGTTTTTGTGTGTTTTTGTTTATCCATCATTCGTTCTGTTTGTTCGCCTGTTCAGCCGCCGCCAGACTGTCTTTTTGTTTTCATCCCATGGCAGGCATGACATCCTTAATTAATAAAAACTGTCACTGTTCGCTCATCGTCTGCTGAAATGAGGTATAATTTCTGATGAAAACGTATCAATTACTTTGCACCAGAATAGCTACACTGTCGCCACTGCCACCATCATCATTACGATGATGATGACGACGATGATCGTCATCATCAACATCACCAGCCAGGGCAGTAACAGCAGCAACATCAACTGACGATGTGGCAGCATGTCGCTCTCGCTGCCGTCAGCATTGTTTGTCATTTATTTGCTTAACACTTCAACGACATACATTGAGTGCCGGATACGGGTTGGAGCATTGCCATGGCAAATAATTTTCATTGTTTCCTTTTGAATCCACCCACTTTCGTCTTGTAAGTAAATACGGCAATGGAAAATAGTTGTGTAGTAGTCAGGAGAGGATAACACTGGAGCAAATACATTGCAAATCGATTACTTTTATTTTTACTTCGTAGTAGTAGTTTTTTTGCTTTTTTGGAAGGAAGCGGCGGCGTCCACTCGAAATATAGAAAAAAGGGTCGGTTTTGTACTTAGACGAGCGAACGAGCAGTCAGTCGTCTGGTGTATTTTTGTTTTTCTACAACTCCACTCGATAGGCCATGTCTAGACGTTGAATTAAAAATTGCCTAGAGTTGAAATGCAACAATCCTTTACTTCATATAAAAACATTACTTATTCCCCCAAGAAGGCAAACAAAGGATAGCTAAAAGTATTTGTTTTTATGACAAAACCACCAACATTTTGACGATAATATTAAAGTACGTTTTCGCTGGTCGGATGGAGGATTCACTCCTGTTTTTCATTTAATGCATTAAATTGAATTAAATTTAATATTTTATGAAAAACATTTACAGTCCCCTATGATAAAATACAATCGGATCAACATTAAAATCAAAGTCTACATTAAAATCTTCACCACTTTGGGTATATTTAACAGATGCATTCTAAAATACGTCGCATTTCGAAGAACCATTGACATGAAATTGGATGAACTAACTTAAAATCGGACGAAACTATATATGGGAGCTATATCTAAATCTGAACCGATTTCAATGAAACTTTCCTCACGTTAGGGTATACTAACTTCAGACCGTTGTGCAAAATTTTGTGTCAATCGGGCCAAAATTGGAAGTTTGGTGCACCATTTACATATAATCGGAAGAAACTATATATGGGAGCTATATCTAAATTATAACCGATTTTATCCAATTTCAATGGGGTTCGTCCTTGGGCCAAATAAGTGACATGTGCTAAATTTCACCCAATTGTGATTATAAATGCGGACAAGCATAAATCGACTCAGAAAGTGATTCTATGCATATTCTCAAAAGGAACCATGGGTCTATATCGATTCCTTTTGCCTGTACCACCGTGTGGTGAAGGGTATAAACAGTACTTAATGCTTACATATTTCACATACATATTTCAGATGATATCAAATATAACAGATTTCATATTAGCAAACTGTTATACTTGTCGTTGAACTATTTGCATTAAAAATATATATTTAATGGTGAGTCCTTTTAAAAAATTTCTTCCGAAGATAAAAAATAATTTGTTATCAATATAATGGTTTGTTGTTTGGCGAGAATAAAAATATGTTTTTGATTATTTTCCATTTTGATAAAAATAAGTTGTTTATTTTTATCAAAATAAAAAAAAGTGTTTTTGTATAAAAAAAAGAATTTTACCGTGTACCACACTGTGGTACAGGGTGCTTAGACTTTGTGCATTTGTTTGTAACACAAAAAAGACAGACCCATATTTTCGTCTGATCTTTTGTGAGCAGCTTTCGACAGAAAACTCGATTTTGGAACTAAATATTTCTGTTATACATACATATGTATATTCATCCCATATAAAAGGTTTCAAGCCCACTGAGATCCGGAAATCTCAAAGTAAAGTCAATGGAATTTTATTGAATCATTTATTTACTACAATCATCAACTCAATTACACCGTCTTTGGGAAATCACAAGCGTTGATTGCCGGATTAAATACCAAACCACTGGAACATGGCCTTACAATTTCACATTCACACTGACATATTATGTAATTGCTTGAAGACGAATCATCTGCAAATACTGTGCCGTCACGCTGGTGTAAACACTTTCCAGAACTTTCACAAGCATGACCTGATGGACCTGCCGATGGTCCTGTTGGTGGTACATGCTCCCATGGACATTTTACATTTTCGGGATAATCACATTGTTTGGTATTGGTGTTGTATAGCAAATTATTGGGACATGTAAATATGTATGCACACTGGGATACACAGACATAATATTGCGAGCAAGTACCGTTTATGTAGCCATTATCGTTTTCTGGTTTATCCTGACAAATGGTAGAATTATTTGGGCAATCGTTCGGGGTTCGAGGAGTACCTGGTGTACCAGGTGTTCCTGGTGTTGGCGTTCCGGGGGTTGGTGTTTCAGGAGTTCCAGGTGTACCGGGGGTATTATCGGTTGGTGTTCCAGGGGTGCCGGGTGTTCCTGGAGTGCCGGGTGTACCGGCTGTTGGTGTACCTGGAGTTCCAGGCGTGCCCGGAGTATCAGCTGTTGGTGTGCCGGGAGTTCCAGGTGTACCGGGTGTATTATCGGTTGGTGTACCAGGGGTGCCGGGTGTTCCTGGAGTACCAGGTGTGCCAGGTGTGCCAGCGGTTGGTGTACCGGGTGTTCCTGGAGTACCACCTGTTGGTGTGCCGGGAGTACCTGGTGTACCGGCGGTTGGTGTTCCTGGAGTTCCAGGGGAACCGGGTGTATTATCGGTAGGTGTACCTGGGGTACCGGGTGTTCCTGGAGTGCCTGGTGTACCACCGGTTGGTGTTCCTGGGGTACCGGGAGTTCCTGGTGTTTCAGCTGTTGGTGTACCTGGAGTACCAGGTGTACCACCTGTTGGTGTGCCTGGTGTACCACCGGTTGGTGTTCCTGGAGTACCAGGAGTTCCCGGTGTTTCAGCGGTTGGTGTACCAGGAGTGCCAGGTGTACCCCCTGTTGGTGTACCGGGAGTTCCAGGTGTACCTGGTGTATTATCGGTTGGTGTACCGGGTGTTCCTGGAGTGCCTGGTGTACCTGCAGTTGGTGTTCCTGGAGTACCGGGAGTTCCTGGTGTATTATCGGTTGGAGTACCTGGTGTGCCTGGCGTACCGGCGGTTGGTGTTCCTGGCGTTCCTGGTGTACCAGCGGTCGGTGTACCAGGAGTACCGGGACTTCCTGGTGTATTATCAGTTGGAGTACCAGGTGTGTCTGGCGTACCGGCGGTTGGTGTTCCTGGGGTTCCGGGAGTGCCAGGTGTACCCCCTGTTGGTGTGCCTGGAGTGCCTGCGGTTGGTGTTCCTGGAGTGCCGGGTGTATTATCAGTTGGAGTACCGGGGGTTCCTGGAGTGCCAAGTGTACCGCCCGTTGGTGTGTCAGGAGTTCCGGGTGTATTATCGGTTGGTGTGCCTGGAGTAACAGGTGTACCGGGGGTTCCTGGAGTGCCTGGGGTACCGGCAGTTGGTGTTCCTGGAGTACCGGGAGATCCTGGTGTATTATCGGCTGGAGTACCAGGTGTGCCTGGCGTACCGGTGGTTGGTGTTCCTGGAGTTCCGGGAGTGCCAGGTGTACCACCTGTTGGTGTGCCCGGAGTTCCGGGTGTATTATCGGTTGGAGTACCTGGAGTACCGGGGGTTCCTGGAGTGCCTGGCGTACCGGGAGTTCCTGGTGTATTATCGGTTGGAGTGCCAGGTGTGCCTGGCGTACCGGCGGTTGGTGTTCCTGGTGTACCAGCGGTTGGTGTTCCGGGAGTGCCAGGTGTACCACCTGTTGGTGTGCCAGGTGTTCCGGGTGTATTATCGGTTGGAGTACCTGGAGTACCGGGGGTTCCTGGAGTGCCTGGCGTACCGTCGGATGGTGTTCCTGGAGTTCCGGGAGTGCCAGGTGTACCAGCTGTGCCAGGAGTTCCTGGTGTATTATCAGTTGGAGTGTTAGGTGTTCCTGGCGTACCGGCGGTTGGTGTACCTGGAGTTCCGGGAGTGCCAGGTGTACCACCTGTTGGTGTGCCAGGTGTTCCGGGTGTATTATCGGTTGGAGTACCGGGGGTTCCTGGAGTGCCTGGTGTACCGGCGGTTGGGGTTCCTGGAGTAACGGGAGTTCCTGGTGTTTCTGAAGGACATGGTGGACGTGTTGCCGGTGTACCGGGAGTTCCTGGTGTATCTGCTGTTGGTGTGCCTGGAGTACCGGCCGATGGAGTTCCCGGCGTGCCAGGAGTATTATCGGTTGGAGTACCTGGAGTACCGGGGGTTGGTGGAGTGCCTGGTGTACCACTTGTTGGTGTGCCAGGAGTTCCGGGTGTATTATCGGTTGGAGTACCTGGAGTACCGGGGGTTCCTGGAGTGCCTGGCGTACCGGGAGTTCCTGGTGTATTATCGGTTGGAGTGTTAGGTGTTCCTGGCGTACCGGCGGTTGGTGTTCCTGGTGTACCAGCGGTTGGTGTTCCTGGAGTTCCGGGAGTGCCAGGTGTACCACCTGTTGGTGTGCCAGGTGTTCCGGGTGTATTATCGGTTGGAGTACCGGGGGTTCCTGGAGTGCCTGGTGTACCGGCGGTTGGGGTTCCTGGAGTAACGGGAGTTCCTGGTGTTTCTGAAGGACATGGTGGACGTGTTGCCGGTGTACCGGGAGTTCCTGGTGTATCTGCTGTTGGTGTGCCTGGAGTACCGGCCGATGGAGTTCCCGGCGTGCCAGGAGTATTATCGGTTGGAGTACCTGGAGTACCGGGGGTTCCTGGAGTGCCTGGTGTACCACTTGTTGGTGTGCCAGGAGTTCCGGGTGTATTATCGGTTGGAGTACCTGGAGTACCGGGGGTTCCTGGAGTGCCTGGCGTACCGGGAGTTCCTGGGGTATTATCGGTTGGAGTGCCAGGTGTGCCTGGCGTACCTGCGGTTGGTGTTCCTGGAGTTCCGGGAGTGCCAGGTGTACCACCTGTTGGTGTGCCAGGTGTTCCGGGTGTATTATCGGTTGGAGTACCGGGGGTTCCTGGAGTGCCTGGTGTACCGGCGGTTGGGGTTCCTGGAGTACCGGGAGTTCCTGGTGTTACTGAAGGACATGGTGGACGTGTTGCCGGTGTACCAGGAGTTCCTGGTGTGTCTGCTGTTGGTGTGCCGGGTGTGTTTGGAGTCGATGTACCGGGAGTTCCTGCTGTAGGCGTCCCTGGGGTTCCTGGTGTGTCAGCAGTTGGAGTACCAGGAGTATTGGCTGTTGGTGTTCCGGGAGTTCCTGGCGTATCGGCCGTTGGTGTACTTGGAGTGTTAGCAGTAGGTGTTCCGGGAGTTCCAGGTGTTGGTGTTTCGGGTGCGCATGGTGGACGAGTTGCAGGTGTACCGGGGGTTGCTGGTGTTTCTGCTGTCGGTGTGTCCGGTTTGCTGGGTGTTGGTGTTCCGGGCGTACCGGGAGTTTCGGCTGTAGGTGTTCCTGGAGTTACAGGTGTATCTGCAGTTGGAGTCCCGGGGGTGTTGGCGGTTGGTGTTCCGGGAGTTCCCGGTGTATTAGCCGTTGGTGTACCTGGAGTGTTAGCAGTTGGAGTTGCGCTAGTTTCAGGCGTTGGCGTTACTGGCGGACATGGTGGGGTTCCTGGTGTTTCCCCAGTAGGCGTTGCGGGTGTTCCAGGGGTTGTTGTTTCAGGTGTACCAGGACAAGAACATCCACAAACTGAACTGCAGTATGCACAATCGCTTTCGTTAAATAGAGACGATCGTAACAATAGAGGATCACAGGCGGCATATTCCCGCTTTTGGCATACGGAAACCAAGCGATTGAAGTGATATCCTTCAGGACATTTATATATAGATTTAGTTTTTCCATGTACACATAATATATATCGAGAACAATCTGCTGGATGCACTAATTTGGTTCCACTCGGTTGTCCCCTGCATACGTCTAGGGTCCAGACGCAGTGTAGTGTGGCTCCCAGCAGTAAATAGAGAAATATGACTGTCGTGTGAATAAATAATTATTGAATATATATTTTTTATTTATTTTATTGGAACAATTGTTGTCCTTACCATTGGTCATATTTAAGTTCCGTTTATTTTATTTGATTTGACTTTCTTCACACTTAATTTTCTGCAAATGTGCGAATGTCTTTCTTGAAAATTATTGATAATAATACAGTCTGGGGTTTTCCGGCCTGTCCCTTTTATATCGCGTAATTGCAAATGGTATCAATTCGATAAAAATGATGATGTTATAACGACCAACAAGACATGATTCTTATCTTATTTAATGGGTGAATGGGTGTTGTTGATCGTAATTGCTGCTGTAATATTTTTGTTTGTGTACTCGTTCTAAAATATCTAGAAAGTAAAGGTTAATATACACTTTCGCGTCACCTTACGGTTTATATATGCAACATAGATGCTTTCGTATGCCCTTCACCGTTGATATTTCGTAGGATCTGAGGGATTATGCGAAATACGAGTTTGTTTTTCAATTTATTTCGATCGCTAAACCAGCATCAAAAACATTAAACTCTTAGTTTAGAGATTTGTGGTAGTTACTGGCCAGTAGTCTATAGGAGCTCTATTGATAATAGGCTTCAAAAGCCTTGAAATATTAATTAATACGAAATTTTGAACATATAAATAATCTGGATAAAGGTGTGTTAAGTTCCGTTTAAATCATTTCCGATTCTCCGCTACATAATTAATCATATAATATTATTATTTTTTTATTTATGTAAATCTTAGAAAAAGTTCAGAGTAATGTAGGGTATTATGTAGTTAGCCACAAGTGACCCAGCGAAAATCAAAGACAAATTTGTACAGGTACAAGGTTTGGTATAGTGACCTATATCAAAACAGGGACCTTTATTGGATTTCTTAAGAAGAATTTTTATTTCAAATTTCAGCTACTTCAGATGGGAAATGCTCCTATAATCAAGATAAGTACGGGACCTACTCAAAATATGGAACTATTCTGAATTGCACTATTTTTTGATATAACCCATTTACGCATGTAATGCATGTGGAAAATTGCAAAGCACAATCTTAATTATTGTGATCTCTATTGTAATTTCACCAGTCAGACAGACACGACTAAAACTACATCTAACCTTTTTGAGACCTTCGATCCAAAAATTTATTCAGTTGCAAATGGAATTACAGATTGAATAAATACATTTCCTTAACGTAGATCTTCTAAAAACAAGTTTGCAGTGACCCAAAAGAATTATTAAACTTTGTTATTTATAGAATTCCATTCTATATCATGACCCATAAATGCTAAAAATAGTTCACAAAAATTACTCTGTTGAATGTTTGTACGAAGATAATTTAACCCTTTAAATGACTAGAACTTCCGAATTTCACAATAATAAGAATATTTTCCAGAGAGAATGTCTGCATCATAAACAAATACTAATACATTTAAACGTACGTACATATGGAAGACATAGACTTTACAATATCGAACATGTTCCTCCTAATTGATGTCATATATATATATATATATATATATATGATGATAACGAAGTGAGAGCGTTATTTCATGTTAACAGTAGGTGATCAGAATGGAACACTTAATGTTAAAAGCCCCTGTTAAGGTAGTATATTATTCGAAGAAATGAAAACTTCAAGAGAAACATGCATTTGAATGGCAAAAACAAATGCATGTGCATACATAGGCTTCCAACCATTTAGTAATTTTACAAATTGTATCTTAAACCTGTAATACAAACCAGTGAGGAATACCCTTCACAACTTTGGGTATATACAAGAGATACACCTAATATTAATATTTTAACTCAAAGCGATGTATGTGTACACCGATTGCAACCAATATGTGCCTCCCTAATCACTTTAGTTGTATGTGAACAATATTCTGTCGATAGAACGGAGATAGCCTCATTGGAGGACCATTGACATGAAAATTGACGAAACTATATATATATATATGGTCTTTATTTATATATGAACCGACAAAAAAGTATAAAAAACGGCATGTCAATCGAAGAAACTTTTGGTGTACTATTTTTATGAAATTGAACAAAATTGTGTATGAGAACTATGTGTAAACCGAATTAAGCAAAATTTGATATTGGCAAGCTGCAACAAAGAGCGCTGTCCAAAAATCCATCTCAATTTGGAAATCAGACGAAAATATGTATGGGAGTTGTACAACACAATTTGTTTGGCTATAGTCTTCGGAGAAGTTTTAAGCGTTAAGTTCAACCGGGCTTAAATTTTGATACCATTGGATTATAACATAGGAATATACCAAAAAGTTGACATATACAGATAACTTCTACAAGCTATTGTTGTAAACCTCAATATGTTTGGAAGATGTACACCACAATTTGTTTTGCTATTGTTCGGCCGGGACCGAAGTCTTCATACCCTTGGATTATAATATAGAAATATTCGGAAATGTTGACCTATAAAGATAATATAAAACCTTAACGCACAAACAATACTCTATATAAGCATTTTTAATTGGGTATATTTCAAAAAGTATCAAAATCCCACAGCATGGACCTATATTATTAACTCTTGGTAGAATAGACACATGTATGTATATAATCCTCAAAATATTACAATTTAGACGGAAGGTATTATTTTCAATTCAAAATTGTGTGTCAGGGCTATATGAAAATCTGTAACGATTTGATGTAAATCGACATACTGCCATACAGCGATGTGCCATCTCATCTTCAAAAACTATATATGGGCTATATTGCCAATTGCCCTTTATAAGTCCGGAATCATTAAAGTACTTGAGAAAAATGTAATAGGTTTAAATGGATTGATCTGTCATAATATTGAACTCCAAGGTTTATTTACGTGGATGCTGTGTCCACTTTTACGTAAAAACCACTTCGGGCATATTCAACATACGCATTTTCGAAGGACCATTGACATGAAATCGTATGAACTAAAATATGTGATTTATATCTAAATGTGAACCGAGTTAGACCATAAACATGTCATTCTGTAAACTATAATAAACTTCTCATAGAGAATGAGACAAAATTGTGTAAATCCATTTAAAGCAAATCTCAATTGGACACTCATTTACTTAAAATCGGAGGTAAATATATATAGGAGCTATCTGAACCGATTTGAACGAAAGTAGTCAAACGTGAGGCTATACTAACTTCAGTACGATGTGCACAATTTTGTGCCTATCAGCTATATTTTGGCTCCTTGGTGCATCTTCTACTTAAAATCGGACGAATATATACATATATGGGAGCAATATCTAAATCTGAACCGATTTTCACGAAACATAACATTTATCATTCAAGACTTAATTAAGTACGCTATGCCAAATTTCGTGCAAATCGAAAGATATACAGGGACTTTAGCACATCTAAATCTGAACCGATTTTCACGAAACTTAACACACATCATCATCACATTCAGTACGCTATGCCAAATTTCGTGCAAATCGAAATATATGTAGGGACTTTGGTACCATTTACAATAAATCGAACGAAAATCTATATGGGAGATATATCTAAATCTGAATCGACTTTAACGAAACTTAGCACACATCTATCTAGACTAAATTTAGTACTCAATGCAAAATTTCGCTCAAATCGAAAAATATATAGGGACTTAGGTGCAACATTTACATTAAATTTATATAAATACTAGCGGGCCCGGCAAATGTTGTCTTGCATAGCAATATTGCTGATTTATAATTCATATAACGATAGCCCAATATTAAGTTTGCCTTTTCTAACCTTCACGTCTTGAGATAGTGCCCTGATATTTGTACATACATTGCTACTACTCCTTGGATATTTGGTATTGAAAATGTTCAATATTAGTTCACTATTTAGGGCAGCACCCATATGAAAAATTTGAACGATGTTTTCAACAGAATTGGTTGTAATTGAGCAGAAAGTGTCCGTACCAAATATTATTAATATTGGCACATGCTTCGGGGTACTGCCCATATAACGGTAGCAATAAACATTCCGTATTTTGAAGATCATGGCCACGGGTTCCAACAGAATTAGTTTTAATTTAATATAGGGGATACTTATTGAGCAGAAAATCTCTCTACTTAAAATTATCAATTTTGGCCCAAGTATCTGGTTAATCCCTTAATATTCGGTGTTTGGCTGTAATTTTATATTTTGGATGATCATTGAGTAAAAAATTTCCTAAAAAATTTGCGCAAGCTTCCGAAAAGCCTCCATATAATGACACTTCACATTTTTGGTGATTTGGATACAAATATGTAACATCGGACGGAGGTTTTGGTATAACCTTCAAATAAGATATTATGTCTTGGCTACTTTTTCTAGCATTACTGGTTTTTTACTAGTTGTTCTCTTTCCAGCTGAGCTTAATGATAGATTTTAGCAAAGAAAATATCTCGTATATTAGTTTTCTCTGTGATATACATTTTTGGTATCGGATATATGCGAGGTGTTCTGTTTAACTTCAAAGATATTGAAAAACAATTAGGCCTATAAGCACCTGATTTAATATTTCCCGTGGCATATCAACATTTCAGGTACTTTAAGTAACAACATGTTCCTATTATTATTATTTTCTACAAATAGGGCATGGATCTTAGAATCCGAATACCCTGAATAGACACGAACTCGATTCAGAATATCTTCTGATTTTCCATCCATGCATTACACCTAAAATGTACGTGAATTCTATGGAAAATGTTACTGATCGCGTGTACATGCAATAATATACTTCTTAATTTTGTATTGTCCCAAAAAAATGTTTCAATACAATGTCAATACTATTAAAAAAATTAAATATTTTGAAAACAACAATTTTTACTCAAAATATCTCAAAATAGCAACGACATGGTGCAATCAAAATAGCTCGAATCAAAATTAGTGGAAATGCAAATATGCGTCTTAATAATTTTTTGCAAATTTTTCGCGGTTTTCGATTTTTTCTCACCTTTTAAACCTCTCCTGGAGCTCCACGAACATTTCAAGACTAAGATAAGAAAAATCCGTTCAGCCGTTCTGGAGTTTTAGCAAGACTAACGAACAGCAATTCATTTATATACACTGTGTAGCACTAAAATCTTGAACC